CAAACACACCTGCTGTAGGACCTGCGGCTTATAGAGTCTGTTCCCGTACGTCAGCAGCATGCATCATAATTAAGGTATCAGGAGGACAAAAATAAGCATGCTGGCTTGTGAAAGACAGCCTGATGCTCCTTCTTTTTACTCTTTCTTTACAAGATAGGAATCATGACACACCACAAATTAGAAAACTGACTAACATGCATGTAAAGATATGTAATCATTAGCTAAAAAGGGCTCAAAGGAACAGTTAATCAGTAAGATTTATTTGAATATGAACATGGCTTTGAACCAGCTATTCTAAAAACATGTTAAGTCATACTTACTTCAAGACCTGTAAAGTCTGTAATGCCACTTTTATTCAAGGACATGTTTTCCTGAAGAATCTTCTGTTGCTTCACATCTAGCATGGCAAGAAATTCCAAGCACTGCTGATTCAGGACTATGAAATAAAACAAGAAAAGTGACTACGAAGTCTGCCACTCCGATTTCTTAATTTCTGAGCTTAACTACACCCAAATGAAGCAGTTCTAGAGTTTTAAGCATCAGTTTGGGAGTATAAGGAGAGTGTGTAGATCTAGAAACTCTGATCTCAAGTTGTCTTTCCTTCTGTGTTTTCCCAGAGATAAAGATCCATCTAAAGAGATAACATTACATATATCACTCCACCTCAGAACGAAGCGCTGATCTCTTTGTACACTTCGAACTAAAGGCAGCTGCTCTTTTAGAACAGCACAATATTGTGAAAATAATTATATATGGCAGCTATTTTAAATCTTTTTTGAAATGAAAGATAATGGAAAAGAGCTTGAGCCCTCTAAGACAGCCAGACACTTGCACAACCTGCAGTCTGAAAATCTTCACTATAATACCATCAAGCTGAATACTTAAAAGTTTGTGCTGTGGGAGCCTTTAGGTGAGTATGTTAAAAGTGAATGTTTTTAATGCAGATTGTCACTGTAGCAGGAGCACTCAGTGGCTCCCCTGGCTGTTGTTTCTTCCTTCCAGGATGCAATCAGGAGCATAACTGGTTGTGTCCCTCCACACCCAGAGTGTCCCCACCCCAGTGAGATAAGATAGGTGTACTACTTTCACACCTGATCTACACTCTAAGCTATGCATACCTGACTTTTCCTATCATTTCATGGGGCTTTTTTCAGTTCAAGTGACAACGTGAGAGGAAAAACAAAGACTAGGTTTCTGCATATCCACTAGTATTAGCTGCCAGTAACAGGAGAGTTATCCCGACAGAAAGCTTACTTTGTAGCTGAACCATGAATTATTCCTGAGAAACAGTACCCAAAAAGGAATAGCTGTTTGTGGCTTACTTGCATTTTCTGCTTTAAGGGTTTTAACTTCTTCTGTTCGCAGTTTCAGTGCTTCCTTAAGAGCTGCATTTTCACAATATATCCTGTAGAAGGTAGAAAAAGGCTGTATTCTCTTTTAAAAAGATATTTTTAAAAGGACAATCAAATGGAAAAAAAAAGTCTGTTAAAACCTTGTCTAATATTTCTGCAAGTTAAAAAATTAGGATTCCTGAAGGGATTGCAGAAAAAAAAAAAAAAAAGAAGCTGACATCTAGATTGATACAAGCAGTTTCCTCATAAGCAGAATTTTTCCATAACAATATCTGTACCAGTAACACATTATATGTTGTTAGATCCAAACCTGCCAGCCAGGGGCCAGCAAGCAACCTAAAACTACTCCTGACTAGTGCTCTGAAGAACATTTTGTGTGTAGGCTTGGTCTGACAGGCACTGCACCCAGGCTAGGAAAGCAGGCTGTGCCAAGCTGGCTCTCTGTGAAGTCAATCCTCGTCATCCAAGCTGCAGGTGGGTCTGCAGAAAGTAAACTCAGGAATCTCTTCAGTCACATAGAGGGTTCTCTGCAACCCAGATAGCATGTGCTGTTCAAACAGGCTCACCTTGTTCATGACACCACACCCTCACCCAACCAATTTAAATGCATGCAAGTGTATTCATGTGAATGTTAAAGAAAAAAAAAATTAAAAAATCATTCATGGGTAAGTAGACAGTGCTAACAACTTCAGAATTTAACAAGAAGTGAGTTTAAGTACGACGATACCATTAGAAATTCAAAGAAATTTGTAATTACAATCTCTGAAACACTTGCTAGAAATCTCTCACTTCCTTGAAAGAAAAAAACTATTACTGGACATGTGACAATATGGCTCTTGTGTGAATTTAGAAGGTAAACTTCCTTTAGTCTTTATACTGTCCTCAGGAACAGCTGTACTTTCAAGCATTGCAACATGAGAACATACAATATACATTTATAATGCATTTTTCCTTGACGCATTTAAATATTTCCTGCTTTAATATAAAAGTGGCAATCTAAAGTCCTGAATGCCACAGCAATACAATTTATTTGGTGGATCTCTTCAGTTGTCAGTAAACACTGCACAATGTAAATTCATGGTTTTGATTAAAACTAAACAGTAGCCCGAATTATTTTCTTGAATAAACAAAGGGAAATAACCATTCTTCTCATCCTGCTGCCCCAGATATCAGAAAACTGTTTTGCAAAGAGGACTGAGCTCCTGGCTTGCAGTTTTCTGAAGACACGTCTCCTGCTTTCAACAGTCAACACTGGTTTTGTTGCTCCAAACTACACTGCTACAATTCTGATCTCCTGAGTCAGGAAAGTCAAAGGGCTTTTCAAGAGATATCCCTTGACAAGTGAAACCAAATTAACTGGTGAACAAGACACAGTATCTTAACAAAACACTTCTTATAAATGAATATTTTGTAAACATTTGGCTTTTTCTTGATTCAAAGTTTGAAAATTTTACATAAGAATCTCTGCTGAAATAATTATATAACTCTGATGGGTAGACTTCAGAGACACCACTTCTACATTTAAATAAGTGAGCCTGCTGGTCATATTTTTGAAGGAATGTTATTATCAGTTTAGTGCCTCTGGCATCTTCTGCTTGCCTAACCACACCTGCTGTCCATCCAGAGTAACTCTTATTTAAACAGAGAACCAGTTGATCAGCCTTTCTCAAAAGCATTCCATTTTACCTGTACGTATGCTCATACCTGCAACGCAAGAAAACAAAGCAATGATTAACCAGCAAATGATATTTCCGCATGCATGCACATACCATTATTTTCTCTGCCTCATTTAGATTTAAAGTAAATAAGGACACTGGCTCCAGCTGGCTAACATAACAACGTAACAGGCTGAAAATGAAAACTCAGCCTAGGAAAGCTAGCCAGTATACACACTAAAAAACTGAGACTTAATAGTTTTAGTTGATAACTACAAATGTGACTAGCATGAACACTAAATAAACCTTCCCAACTCATGAAGGAAATCAGAAAAACATAAAACCCCCAGACAACCTGATGAAGCAAACTTGGAACACAAGAAAGGGGACATACAACATTCAATAAAATGTAAAAAAAAACCCTCAAAGATACACAGTGTAAGTAAAATACCTGTCATATTTTTCTGTCCATGTGTCTTCTATGTTTTTAAATCTATCCTGATCAAATTCAATTTCCCATTGCAAAATATTTATTTCCTGTGGAAACAAAACAAACCTGCAGCATTTCATTACAAGCCCCCCACTGAAAGGAAGTAGAACTGCTGGCAGAGATGTAGGTGACAAGTGACGATGACAATCTGTGATACTGTCAAAAATACATTTGGTGCTAGACACCAAGAAGTTTTTGCATCACTGATCTCTCATTTCAGACCATGTTGCATCAATTAATTCTTGTAGTGGCTTATGACAAAAACAAACACATTGTCACATTTTCCTGTGACCTTACTGTTCTGTGGAAGGTTCACATCAAAAGAGAAACAAAGCATAAAATTCAGTTTAACAAGGTAGCTAAACACCCCCTTTCTCCTCCTCTCCATCTTCCACATACAAACTGGGCACCCATTTCTTTTAGTCTTCGGGAAGTTCCAGCTTAACAATTAAGAAATAGTGCAACTTGCTATGAATGACTGTGAAACTCACAACAAATGCCAACTGACAGTGCAGAAGGAACTCTAGTAACTTTGAAGTGTTAATTCTAGACACTATAGCATGGAAAGTATTAATATTTTCCCTTTTTACTAAAAAGGAATAAGAACATTTTCAAAAAGACCTGAAACTAATGGCAGATTCCTACTGATTGAGATAAACAGTCTTATAACCCCTTATTAATAGCAACGGACTTGTCTGTTTTTGCACAGGTGTGAAGAAAACAAGCACCCTTACCTTTTCTAAAGTTCTCTTTTCTTCCTCAGTTTTTTGAAGCATAGCTTTTGTATGACTAGTGGCTTTATTAAACACTGCCTGGGCGGGGGGAAAAAAAAAAAAGCAAGCATTACTCTGCCAAATACTATAATTAAGTTTAGCTATTTTGGCTTGAGTCAAATTTTCAGCTTTACACCCAGAGAAGTTCACGTTCTTAGTTAAACAAGAGTGTGCAGAATTGCAAACACTAGCAACTTGCTTCTGAGTCTCAGTGGGTTCCAAATTCAAGTCACTAAACAGCTATGTTCATAACAAACTTGTGTTTCAATACCATAACCTCTCCTACCAAAAACTGTAGCATCATTTAAAATGAAGCCATGTCTCCTTTAAGGCTTGTCCACAAAAGTAGCTCTTAAAATCTTGCTTACAACACACTTAAACTTTGATCCAGCTTACTGTGAACGTTTGAATGTAGACAATGAAGAACTATAAACACATTACACAAGTAGGCTAAAAAACAGGAACTGATTTCAACATAATCTATTCTAATAGCGAATAAAAATATTACAACCTGTGAACAAAAGACTGACCTAATATTTAGCATATACTGTCCTCTAAGACAACAGATGGAGTAATCAACTGAAAATATCTGTGCTCTGCAGCAATATTTCAAGCACTGGCAAAGTCTATACATCAAAAGACTTGAAAAATGCTTTATTCTGTAAGTTAAATAGATAAAACTTCAAGGATCCTCAGAGACAAAATTACAAGAAATTGCTACAACAGTAAAGTCTTCTTCAATAACCACAAGAGTTTCACTCAGAAAAAGCAGCATGTCATAGAGGCCAAGTCTGTAGACACTTGCAGACTCAATGCTTTAAACTATAGCCCTGCGAAGAACTTGAGGGGTTTGGATGAGGAGTGGCAGGAAGACTTCCTCTCTTTTCCTTCCTTTGAAGTACCTAAATGATTTCTGAACAACTCCTACCATGCTCTGCAGAATTCTTAGGGCTTCATCCTTTCCTTCAAGCTGTCTTCGAGATGCTTCAAGCTCAACTTTCAAAATTTCAACTTCCTGAAGTAAAATAAAATAGATATACTGAGTAAAAGCCAAGGTAATCCTGTTAAAACTTGACTGTGACAGCAATGTAAATTTTCCCTCTTAAAAAAACAGTCTTCTCTTGTTTCTACCCTGTATGATTCTTTTCTAATACCTTGCTTGCAGTGAAAAAATTCTAACAGCGCATGCTAGCATAAAATCCTTAAAGGAGAATACTTGTAATGATTATTCTTTTTATTCTCCTCCAGTGTATTTGGAAAATAAACCATTGCAATTCTGCCTTGCTAAACAAGTTGTATATGTTGACATAGATCTGGAGCTTAAAAATAATTAAGCAGAACAGAATGCAGTTTTCTTACACACGCAGCAGTAAATATTATGAACATATACTAAAATGTAAATGTTATATAAATATGACATACTATAAATATATTATACAAAATAGCCATATTCTATAGTGAAAATATCATGTTAGGACTGTTAGATCAAAAACACTCCTTGTCTAGAAGAGAACAGTAACAATAGTAAAACAGATTCCTGCTCCAGGTACCTGCCAGTCACGTTTTTGTGCAACACTCCTCCCCTTCAGAAGAAGGCTAGTTTTCAGTTTCCAAGATTTAAAAGAAAACATACTGCTTTGGATACTTACCTTTCATTAACCCCTATGCAGGTCACTCACTTGCTCACTTGTTGTCATACAAAACATTTTTTTCATGGTTCTTCCAGTTTTATTACTTCAGCAATTTATACGGAAATTCTATCTGTGAGTACTGTCATCTTATCATTTTTGTCTGATCAAAAATGAGTAAGGTTCCTTGACACTTTCACTTGCTGTGCACTGAAGGTTCTTCATGCTAAGACAAGTTGCAAATGACCTACCGTGGGCTATCCTGAGGTTAAAGAACACAGCACTGATGAAGTGTGTATTTTTACAGCTGAGATCACACTGCTCTTTCTGCCTGGACTGATGTAAACACATCAACAGATTTAACCACAGTAAAATTAAAATGTGGTAGTTAACTACCTTTCCACAAAAATACAGATTAAAGAACCAAAGGCTATTCCGTTTACACTGCAGATTTTCAGACCCCAAACCTTAATAAAAAAAGAAAACCTGCTAGAAAAAGAGTACAATCCTATTAATGTTCTCTGCATCTCTAAAAACATTCCCTTCTGTTCCCTCCCGCCCTACCAGTAATTCCAGGTATAAACCACACATCACACTGATTTTTTAGCAAAAATATAATGGGGCTTCCAACTACCACTCTAATTTCAAGAACCTGAATCCATCCAAACCTCTGGACATACCAAGATCAGTCCAGGCAGCACATGTGACACAGTTACTAACCTCTAAAGCTTCCTGAAGCTGCTGCTTTAAATCTTCCTTTGACACTTCAGCATCAGATTCTGTAGGATTGATGGGAGATACTAAATGATATTTACTATAATAAAGTAATACTTTATTATAGATAAATATATACTCTATATATAGCTATATGATACATATATGATGGGAGATAGTATAATATTTACAAAAGAAAGTATCAGAATTTGCTTTACCCTGAAAACATGTAACATGCAGAGGTGAATTTCAGTCTTTGTGTGCTTTTTTCTTTTTTGGGGGCTAATAAAGACATTTAAGAAATACATAAATACTAAGCTCAAGCACATTGTTTCACAGTTAAAGTGAAATGGGAAAAAAAGATTAGTTGTAAAGAAACCTAAAGTAAGGACAACTATTTTAAGATTTCCTTAAACAACAACAACAACAAAAATTGGCATGTTGATTCATGAAGTAACTTCATTTCTTAGATTCTTTTCAGACTGTAACTTTTCAGCAACCAAACTCAACACAACAGAGCTAGTGCTCTTCAGAATCAGGGGCAATGTACTGGAGACGAGGTATGGTGGTTGGGATTCCTACAAGGTCAAATATTCCTCTGCACAAGCAGTTACTACTGATACTTATTTTTTCTTAAGCAGAGTGTAGCAGAGATCTATTAATCCTCCTAGTAATCAAAGTCAGGTTCATGTGGACTTTAGTGATGATTTCATGGATACTGCTGTGTGAAAAGACCTAGAACTAAGAGAAGCATCATACAGAAACTAACAGAGGGACAGTGAAACGAACAGGAACTAGTCTGCTCTGGTAAAATCTTCACACTGACGATGCTGAAATCAATAAAGAATAATTACATGGCTTAGTTTACTGCCGTTGGTGGAGAGTATAGTGGGGACTTGTTCTAAAGGAGAAAAACAAGCAAGTTATATGGAAATACTTTACTCAAAATACTAAAAATGGCTAAAAATGTATGGGAAAGCAGCTAACATATAATGAAAAGTACTGCCTATATTCACTTTTATTTACAGCAGTGCTGTCTTCACAAAAAAATGAATGGCAACACTGGGAGAAAAAGAGATGTGCTAGTTCTAAAAGCAACATCTAAATCTGTAAAAGAATGCCAATGGACAATTTTCAACTAAACAGCAAACAGGATTTTGAATATTTAGCCATCAGCTTTAGATACAATCTCTAGGCAGCCACACTTAAAAAAGGCCGTGAATCTAAGCAATTCCATTCTAATTCATACATGTATTTAGAGGAAAAACAACGCTGGCCCCCACTAGAGGATGCGCCTGGCCAAATGTTGCTTTCAAACGCAAAACGGAACCCTTTGCAATTGATTATTTTACGCTAAGAAGGGCCACAGCCTCCTCCACTGCAAAGCAATGCTGCTATTCACGTTTTGGGAGGAAGATCTACGAGCGGGGGCTCCTCTGCTGCCTCCACGGCTTGGAGCATCTCCTCTTGCAAGGCCAAGGACAGACCTGGCGGACGGCAGCAGCCCCGCAGCACACGCGCGATTCCCGGAGCCCTCCAGAGACCGCACAGTGTTCTGGAAAACGTTTCCAATCAAACTCGACGACACCTTGTGAAGCAGTTCCACTGATCAGTTTTGTAAACAGAGATTTTTCTCACAGTGAATAATTAACTTCTAAAGTTCTCTTACCACAGCTGTTTTGACGTGTGGAACTAGAAACACGCTTTTGGGGTGATCCGTCGTGAAAGCGGTTTCGTTTCGAGCCAGGAAGAGCGGCAGCGTCATTTTCTTCCGCTCCCTTTGCCGACAAGAGAAAATCGCAGACCTTCCCTGACCCCTTCCTACATGCAGATGAATAGGGGTTTTGCAAATTTTTCCCTTCATAAACCCCTCCCGGTCTCCTCCCAAGTCCGTTTCCCAAGTCTCCATGTATCATATCATCTTCTGCTTCCTCCATCTTCTGCTTTCCCTGTGGTGCCTTTTTTTTTTTTCCTTTCCTGATTGAGGGCACTTCACTTACTAGCAACGTGAACGGTGCCTCCTGCAAAACAGGTATTTCATCCAGAAAACCAGAAAAAACCTTCCGTCATTGAAGCAGCGAAACGACACTGAGGGGCAGAATCTGAAGCTGCTCGTGCTG